TATATATATATATATATATATATATATATATATATATATATATATATATATTGCATACATACATAAGTGTGTTTGTAATAATGCACATTTATGTGTTTTGATTATGTACATAAAACACCACTTAACTTTTTTCTCTAACCTACAAAGTGGACATAACTGTTAGGTCTAGTGATTCTAATCAGACGTTTTTGCAAAAGCGAACAAAAAGTTTCCATTTATCTCTATAGATTCGCCGATAAGGAACCAGCCCCTCTCATTTTGACACTAACCTTTCCCAGCCCCTAAACTGGAGTGAAATTGCATAGCTTGGAAAGAGTGAATTGCAATACACAAGGCTGAGTAGATACAATCCTAGTGACCGTAACTTACGAGATAAAATCCATGAATATGAACACCCGATGAGTGCGCGATATGAACCGAAACGTCGGGCGATGTTGACGCAGATAACTAATTTTATTTGTGGATTTTATCTCGCGTCTATGAGAGGTCTTGGATGCACGGGATAAAGATACGAGTCAGGCCGTAAAGGAAGAGGCAGGGAGAAAAGGGAGGCTGAAGAAAGGGGGATGAAAACGATACTAATGGTGTATGAAGTCGTTAGTGAAGAGAAAAAAATAGTGTTGAAAAGGTTGGGAGGTGGAGAGAGAGAAAAAAAATGAGGAAGAAAAAAATAATGAAAAAAAAATATATAGCTGAAGGAATAAAAAGAAAAAGGGTTGGAGAGAAACAGAAAAGGAGAAAACATGACGAGATGTAAAAGGAAATAAAAGGTGTGAGAAATAAAAGAAAGAGAGAAAGGTAAAATACAGTAAGGAAAAGGCAATGAAAAGATTGAAAAAAAAAATCCCCCTCTTCCAAAAGCATGACACTGGGAGAAAGAAAGAAGGAAAGAAAGAAAGAAAAAGCAGGGAATAAAAAAAGGACAACAAAAGCGGGAGGGAAACCAAAAAGAAGAGGGAGCCAGACAGAGGAACTTCATCAGTGCAAGGTTTCAGAATGTCGGTTACGTCATAGCGGGCCGGAAAGGCTATAGATCTCACTTGCCACGTGTATCGCATCGCCGGCCGTCTCTCCAGTGACAGACTCAGGAAATACCCACTCGCTTCGCTTGTTATGTATGGGTATTGTCGCGTCCCTAAAATTAACTGTGACTGGAGTGTGCGTTCTCAGCGGATCGTGTGATGTGCGTTCATTCGCGTTCATGGAAGGTGAAGTGCGTGTGTTCGTAAGTGTGTGGCGAGGTTAGGCGCTCGGCGGTCAGTGTGTGTGCAGCCGTCAGTGGGGGTGGACGTTCCTCTTGTCCGCGCGCCGTCACTGGGTGATTTTTTTTTCCTTTTTTCTTTAAAAACAGACGTCGCCGCCGCCACCACTCTAGGACAGGTGAGGCGACTCTTCATTCGCCACATCTTACTACACCCTGATGTCATGTCCTACACCTACATGTGTCATAACCTTGTCATCAGTAACTAACTTTATCATCATTAAATTATATAGGCTGGGGACACTTTTATGAAACGTCGCGAAACAGGTTTCATCGTGACCGGGGTTTATGTATGGAACTGGAGACATGTCACCTCGCGCGCTCCACGTGAACTCCAACTTGGCACAGATATGAGCCGCGACACAGTAAGTTACGCCGAACCAGAAGATACAATATACATTATCCTTAACAGAGAAGTCACATTCACGGCGAATATCCTTGCAAGACACAGAGACGGCAATCAAACCTAATCATCTTGAGCACCACACCACACCAACCAGCAGCGACCACGCTAACCACACCACCTGCTCACGTAACCCGCCAACACACCACATGCCGCATAATCACCTTAACCACACGCACTCCTCTAGGCAACGCGATATAAAGAATCGGAAGCCACAGCCAGCGCCAACGGCCTTGGGTAATTGCTGATATTTGTTACAGCTGCACCGGTTTTGGCATCAGCAGCTGTGTTTGAAGTCGTCTTTTATCGTGGACTTTGAGAGAACTGTCACTCTGGGAGAAGTTTCCATTCAATGCTGAATTGCTGTTGATAACTGGTGGGAAGAGTTGTCCTGGCGGCCGCAGTCACGGGAGAAAAAACCGTTAGTCATGGTTTAGGTTTATCTCGAGATGGCTTTGTCGGTCACGGTGGGGTTAGAGACGTCGGGTAAGGTATGATAATCCCACTTTTCAGACTTTCTGTTTGTAGGTCTTGCTTCCATATACATCCAGTGCGGCAGATACAGGAGACAAACAACAGAACACGGAATGGCCAGTTAAGAAGAGGTAAAGACAGAGTCGCCTCCCATTGGCGGACTGAAAATGCTGATGAAACTGTCAGTCAGGGAGGGGCCCGACGTCCTGACACGGAGTTGTCAGTCACGTAGTCGCTGTATCATAACCTGTCCTCCTTGGGCCGGTGCCAGACGCGAGCGCTGTCGTCAGTCGCGCTGGAGTCAACTCGGTAAGCCTTTGGACAAGAGGCTTTTAGGGCACCTCGGCTGGTGTCGGGGGCGC